TATCCTCTTAAGCTGCTATTTTACGCTGGTATTCTGTGAGAGGGTGGTCTTTCTCCGGTCGAGCCGACCTCATTCGTGTTACAACAATATTAGGTATTATTATGGGTGCAGCATGGCTCTACCACGTTTATTAGTAAGACGTTGCTACCTATCTTAATTTTTGTATCCCTCTTGCACCGCCTCTATACCGCGTTGGAGATCACATGTCTGTAATTCTTATTAAAAATAATTTTTCACTTTACCACTGGTTCGGAAAAATACCTCTGTCCTGGGAAGAACCAGAAAGAAACCCAACGGGAATACATTAAAAAGTATACTATATAAAAGGTTGTATAAACTTTTTACAAAATGTATTTTGAAAACAGCTTGGAAGCGACCACCTCATACATGATGTATGAAGATAAAATACAACACATAAAATATCTTTGATATTCTTTGATTCTGGCTGTTCCAAGTTGAAGTTGACGCTGGAGATTGTATCTGAATTTCTTTCCTTGTTTCATCTATTAGTATGAATAAAATATTAGAACATATATTATTATTAAGCTCAATCTTTGCCAATTATGTATAATGCAATGAAAAGTTAGGTTAGTATTCAGTTATAATTTGTGTGTTACAATATTGCGGAGTTAGGATACGTAACGGTTTAAATTCTAAACGCTATGGTAACTTGATTGATGGATTCGGTAAGTGAAAGCGGTATGTTGCGGTTCAGACTTCAATACCCTGAAACGAATCAAACTTTCACCGCGCCTCCTTTAGCCCTCGCCGTGTGTTTATCCTGCGAATCATTCTCATGCAATTAAAGTTTGTTTATTATTTGCGGGCTTAAGAATGTTTGGACTCAACATTTAGTACGAGGGCGACACTGAAATTTTTTTAGAACTGGCCACTTGTAAACGATATAATAAAAACAAATAAGTTCAAATTTTGAAAATGGAACTCTTTGCCTATATTATTGTGTATGTATTTTAATCTCAAAGAAGAACTGTCAAAACTACTTGTCGCATTTTGTTTGATCAAAAATCCCAAGATTTCTAAAGCAACGGGATTACCTAGGCTGCACTAAAAGTATCGGGAATGGAATATTTCCACTGTTCCTGTCATATTAAAATCTATTTAATTGGAAACTCCTTGGTTTTAAAAATCGAATACCATTTATTTATTTAAAAAAAGATTCTCGGTCTTGTCACAAGGTTTTGTCAAACTACTAAACAAGTCGTTGAGAAAATGGAATTGACTCGAAAAAATTCAAGAGCGATGATTTATTATAACTCGAAGTGGTTTAACACAAAAACAGTGCGTTGACCGGATGATTTCTGCATTTGGTGATGAAGCCCCATTCAAAACCACAATTTATCGCTGGTTTGCTGAATTTCAACGTGGACGTGTCCAGCTCAGTGATGATCCCCGTCAAGGTCGTCCAAAAACTGCAGTCACCCAAGAAAACGTTGATGCTGTGTGTAAGCTGATTGAGGAAGATCGACATGTGACATACCGCGACATTCAGGCAACTTTGGACATTGGCATGAGTCAAATACAAATAATCTTGCATGTACAATCAGGTGTAAAAAAGTTGTTTTCCCGATGGATACCGCATTCGTTCTGTGAAGAGCAAAAAGCGGCTCGCGTTTCTTGGTGCGTCAGAACTCTCGAAAGATTCCACGCAGGATCCTCAAATGCTGTATACAATATCGTATCAGGCGTCGAATCCTGGATATACGCGTACGAACTCGAAACAAAAAACCAGTCACGAGTTTGGGTGGTCGAAAATGAGTTGAAGCCAACAAAAATTGTTCGTTCACGGAGTGTTGCAAAAAAAAAATGGTGGCCACGTTTGTCTCCAAAAGCGGCCATGTTACGACTATTCCTCTTGAGAGATAAAGAACGGTTAATGCAGAATGGTATGCTAGCATTTGTTTGCCACAGGTCGTTTCTGATCTCCGTAAAGAGAACTGCAACCGCCGCATCATCCTCCATCACGACAATGCGAGTTCTCACACCGCACACAGAACAAAAGAGTTTTTAGAGCAAGAAAACATAGAATTATTAGACCATCCGCCGTACAGCCCCGACCTAAGCCCTAATGATTTCTATACTTTCCCTAAAATAAAGAATAAATTGCGTGGACAGAGATTTTCATCACCTGAAGAAGCTGTGGACGCCTACAAAACGGCCATTTTGGAGACCCTAACTTCCGAATGGAATGGTTGCTTCAATGATTGGTTCCATCGTATGGAAAAATGTGTCACATTGAGATTCCGCGTGAGAATACTTCGAAAAGCAATAAATACATTTTTAAATAGTAATGTGTCACTTCCTTGATTCCCGAAATTTTTAGTGCCGCCCACGTATGTCACTACCTACAAGATGGCAACAAATTATCGAGCAAAATGGTACATATATATTATAATTAACTGTCATTAAACATTGAAAAGAAATGTCTTCAATTTGTATATAAAATACGGAGAAACTTTTTCCCCGACCTATCATAAATTTTAGGTGGTATGCCTCGGAGTCCGCCTTGGTAGCTATCACTCTTTTTTCTCTTGTTTTTGTTACGGGAAGTCTGCAGTCTGTGAACATGTACTTGGATCGCCCCCATCACTACATCAGATTTGACAGATAACAAATCCTCCCTAAAGAACACCTTTTAAAATTCCTTCCAAGGACAAAAACATCAAAAAACATTCTAATTTCAATAGAAAAGATGGCTGGGTGATACCATCTGCTTTGTAACCTATAATTAATAAATTTAAATCCCAACCCAAGCATACAACTACGAAACTTCAAGAAACTATAAGTTCATACTGCGTAAATCGGAACAAAAATTAACAATTTTGATATGGAGGTGGCCGTGGTAACTATGACGTTGGGACGTCGTACAACTCAGTTCCTCGCGTGACTATGCGTGCTGTAAATTGGTCTACTATACGTAGGAAATTTAAGTTAATAAACGCGATAAATTAGTTAAAAACTGGTTTTATTTAAATGTGTACTGGTCGCGTAAATATAAGAAATCATTACAGGAATACAAAATTTCATCAAAATCGGTTCAGCCGCTAAGTTGCGACCCGCCCCGGCTGCGCTCGGGTGATTTCTGGATTTTGGCAACAGCGCTATCTACCGGGTCCGATTGTGAATCTAAATCATTCTCGAATCAACTTAAGGCCATACCCCTAGCGAACGACCTTGAGCGTTTGGTCCGCCGACTCTCGCTACGATATATCGCGTAAGAAATCTGCAAGACGCCACCTACGGGTACGAACGTAGTATTATTTTTTCAATGTCAATGAACTATTTTATGGAAATAGACACGGCATACAATGATAAATGTATTTTAATTTTCTTTATTCGGTATATTAGTTGCATTATATTAGAATTATGTATTCTCATATATTATCTAATTAATAAAAATGTCTATTTTGATTATTTTTAACTATATACTATACTGCTAATATTGAATTAGCTTTTTATAGTGTAAATTATAATATTTGTCGAAATTATGGATTCGAACTTTACATGCTAATGGTGCTTCATTTTTGTTATTTTCATTTAATTACATATTGAAAATATACTTGAATAGTAGGTATTATTATTTTATTTAGCTACTGAATTTTAGGATATGTTATAGTTATTACTAATCTTTTATCTGCTATTCCTTATTTAGGAACAATATTAGTAAATTGAGTTTGAGGGAGATTTACTGTTTATAATGCTACAAGAATTATAAACAATAAATCTCCCCTCTACTAGCTCGTATTATGCTACATTTATTATTTTAATATTTACCTACTGGGTAGGTAGCTATTAGCTATAGCTTTAGTAGCTATTATTAAAATAATAAATGTAGCATTAGTAACTAAATAGATATTTTTTACCCAATTACAATAACTAATAAGGTATTGTGATTATTTGTGATTAGTAATACTGGGTTGGTATTAATAAATAGAACAAAATAAAATATAAAGTCAATTTTATTATCTTGAATGTAAGAAATTGATTACAAATTTTTTAACTTCCTTAAATTATAAACAAACAGCTGCAGTATATAAATGCTATTAAATGAGCTACGAGCTGACTATTAAATGAGCAGCTATTAAATGAACAGATGCGCATATACACGCCCGTATATATATATATATATATATATATATATATATATATAAAAGTAAAGTAAAGTTACAGCCTATATACGTCCCACTGCTAGGCACAGACCTCCTCTCATTTCTGAGAGGCTTTTAGGGCAAGGAATAGTCCGCCACGCTGCCCCAAACCCCAATGCGTGTTGGCGAACTTCACATGTCTTCGAAATATATTTTTTTCCTATTTCTCAGACATGCAGGTCTCCTCACGATGTTTCCTTCACCGCCGAGCACGTGGTGAATCAGCACTTAAAATTGCAATTAACAATTTCATTGGTGCCGGCGGGGATCGAACCCGGTTTGCTCGCGTATTGTGAAAATTACAGCGAGCGATAACCATCTGAGTTACCACGGCTCTTATATATATATATATATATATATATATATATATATATATATATATGTATATATATACATTAGGGTGGAGTGATAATGTAAGAAATTTTTTTTTGTTTTTTTTTTTTGATTGCATAGCGATAAAAATTTGCCTTTCATTGAGTAAATCCTACATACAAAATATTATTTACTTATCATGATGTCTTGAGGTGCCCCAACACAATTGAAAATTTGAAAAAAGCGATGAATGTCGTAGCACACCAGGCGGGAACAAAGTTCCTTACGCTACTCTATATATACCTATGTGTTAGTGTAGTAGACACCATCAACAGAGTAACAGCTTAGGAATCGGTTAAATAAAGTCTGGTTAAATATAAAAAATACATATATTAAAAAAAATAAGGTAAAACTAAGTAATTATGATAGATTTGGATATCGTTCAGAAACACAGTAATTAAATATTAAATTGTTTTTTTGTATCAAAATTTGGCATTTGCTGACGTGATAATAATCGTGCCCTTATGCACTTGAAGCTTCAGTCACCAATTTTATGCAGCGCTCTACGGCTTGGGTGTGGCATGGGAAATCTTTTATACTCTGACATGTTCTCAAACCGCATTTGACAATCTCTTTCAAGAATTCATCAGATAAATTGTAAGTCAGAGGTGGCTCAGTTATTTTACAGTCTTGCCACTTAATGAGGTCGGTATAATCTTCAGCATCGAAATTTAAAGGAGGCACTTTGAACGTTCGAAGTCCTTGATCATTCTCTGCTCTAGCTTTCAAAATTTGTTGACATGCTAGTTCTCGAATGATTTCTCTGTCATCTCCAAGCATAGCAATAAGAATATTTTCTGGGTGCCCGAAATATCCATTTCGTATGAGTACCTTATCAATGACTATCTTCAAATCCGCGCTCAAATAGCGAGTCAGGCTAATCGTTTGCCACAGGTGCTTAGCTCCATTTATGCATGATGGATTACACTTTATAGTGAACCACATCGGACCATAAACTTTCATCACGTATGTGGCTAATATCATTAAGTTTTCTAGGGGGTCTGTTTTAGTAGCATATAATCTTAGAATTCGATTTGCTGTTGTAAGCCATCTAGAATGGCTAAGGGGTCCAGGTTCGATATTAGCCAAATCGGAAGTAAAGACGCCAGTGCTGATAGCGTTCATCACATCATAAAGATATTTTTGGTCGGTGCTCAAATCATTTCTAGGAATTTCAGGTAATGTTGAAGGAATGACGGTAAATTCGACAATTGGCATTGTTTCACATTTTTTGTAATTCAGAGCCGATAGGACCTGAAAAGCATTTAGGCCCTGTGGTTTTTCCATCCAAATGTAATAACAGATGTCGCAGTGGTAACTCATTTGAATGCAATTGGCAGATAAACCACTGTAATGGTTTCTTAAGTTCTTCTTCCATCAAACGAACAACACCACCTTTGGAACCTGTGTTCACGACAGTTCCATCGCAACCAACAACAGCTATTTTATTCAGATCCACCGATTTCATTTTCAGGTGACGTATAATTGTACTTTGAATACCTTTAGCGGTTCCCAACTCACACGTAACATGCCCGAAATAATCACTTCCTGGCTCCGATAAAATCACATAATGGTCTTCTGTTACTCTTTTTCTGTAAAATTTGCCTTCCTTCTTAATACTTACTAAACTCTTATCCTTTCTGCCATCAAAATAAATACCGCGTATGATTTTATTACGATCTGCGTCTTGTAAAGATGATCTGACTTTAGTTCTTTCACGACGCAACTTAGAACGATCAATGACACCGCTTGGATCCTTCGTTGAAATAATGCCAACATCTTTTAACACAGAAGAAGCTATAATAGCAGCGGCTCTGTCGGAGACTCCAGTACGATCGCAAGCGAGGGCTAATGATGATAAATTTAACTTCTTTTTTTTTGGTGGTGGTGGGGTTTTTGGTAGTCTCGCTACGTGTTTTGGCGATTGATAAGGACTAGAAGCTACGCTATTGCTTGAACTGGTGCTTTCGATCGTCAAGTCATCATCATCAGGCAACGAACGAGAACAACACGGTTTGTTGGGATCAAATATCTCTTTGTTACGCAATAAACTTTTTTCTTGTCTTTCTAGTTTTCTCTTATTTTTTACAGTTGTAACCAAATCTACACCACCTATCATCATTTTTCTTGTTGTCCTTTGGTCGAGTAAAAATTTTATTTCTTCCTTGGGAACACGACTGTCTTTTGAACAAGTGCAATCTGAAATAAGTTTGCATTTGCAACTGCAAACATCAAATAATCTATGAGACTCAGTTATGAATGTATTTATCTTCTCTTGATATTTTTTGTTTAATTGACGGCCTCGATAAGGTTTCATTAAGCTTCTATATTTGTCATGGTAGGATCGAATAAGTTGTAATACTCTCTTAAGACTGACTGTTGGCAGCGACGCTTTTCGCCAAATTTCTAAAACTTCCTGAGCCAATCTTTCGGATATGTCATGAATTGTCGGCTCTTTTGTTTTTTTGTCAGGCTTTAATTCATATTTAATGAATAAATAATTTTTCATTACATCATTATAAGTTGGTAATTGAGCTACGGGTAACTTCTCTGGTAAACCAAACACAGGACAGGATGTCTTTTGTCGTGTTTTTACTTGCGACATTTGACTGTAATAAAGAGAAATAATAGGTATGAATTCAATCAATTTTGATCTAAATTGCATTAACTATGAGCAGGAAATTGAAAATACTACTTACATGAGTCTTACTTCTTGATTTAAGTCGTTAAAATCAATGCTTTTCACAAGTGTAATAGTATTAAATCGCGCGCGCGGGTGCACTAAAAGGCATTCGAACGACGTTTGACGAGAGTAGTGTATTCACCTCCCCCCGTGCCCCACAACCCCCGCTCCTCACCGCACACATTTCAAGGTCAAAATTGAATGTCTTGTACCAACAGGGTGACACTCTCAATATGACTTAGCGTTAATTAGACATTCGTGTGTTTTGACAAAATTTCGTGAATTTCTCTAAAGTTCATGATGTTGGGGGCACCTCCAAATATATCATATGTCAACCAAAATTTTGTGAGAATATTTGTAAGCTATAAGAGCAACTTTTTACAGGTATTACAAAACAATTACGAAAAAAAAATTTTTTCGCTCCACCCTAATATACATATATATATATATATATATATATATATATATATATATATATATATATATATATATATATATATATATATACCTATATAACACGTAACAAAAACCCCGTGGTTCCCGTTACCTGCGTGATCAAAATCAGTATACAAGCGTATAGAAAGATTTTTTTCAATGTGTTTTACATTTAAAAAAAATTTTAATGAAAAAAAATTAATTTGCAAATTGTATGTGGTTTTATTATCTCTGCATTGGTTGAGGAGTAAGAGGATTGTCAAAGACCCTGCATTACCGATACTCGTGTGAGTTAGAGAAAATAAAACCACATACAATTTGCAAATTAATTTTTTTTTTTTTAAATTAATTTTGAAACTGTGTTTTTTTTAAAACTATTTCTATATGCTTGGATATTAATTCTGATAACGCAGGTAACGGGAACCACAGGGTTTTTGTTACATGTTGTATATATATATGTGGTAAGTTGCGAATTTCCCGCGCCTATTTCAATCATACCTGCGATTGCACATTTATTTATTTATTTATTTAATCTTTATTATACACCTTATATACTAAGGGATATAAAGGGCGGACTTAATGCATTATGACATTCTCTGCCAGTCAACCCTGGATGATTTGAGAAACTGTGGCAGGTGTAATCAATCACTTAATAAATAAATAATAAGGATATAAAACAAAATAAAATGCAAATAAATAGAATAGATATATAGTTAGTAAAATTTACATACTTACTTAATATATAATATAGGATAAATAATAAATATATTAATAAATAATAAATATATTTAATGATAAATAATTTTCATTACAATCATAGTTTACTATTACAAATTTTTGGTTACATAATTGGCATTTAAGGCCTACCTCCAGCGAACGACCTTGAGCGTTTGGTCTGTCGACGCTCGCTACAATATATCGCGTAAGAAATCGCCAAAAGACGCCACCTACTGCTACGAACGTAGTATTATTTTTTCAATGTCAATGAACTCTTCTATGGAAATAGACACGGCGTACAATGATAAATGTATTTTAATTTTCTTTATTCGGTATATTAGTTGCATTATATTAGAATTATGTATTCTAATATATTATCTAATTAATAAAAATGACTATTTTGATTATTTTTAACTATATACTATACTGCTAATATTGAATTAGCTTTTTATAGTGTAAATTATAATATTTGTCGAAATATTAATTATGGATTCGAACTTTACATGCTAATGGTGCTTCATTTTTGTTATTTTCATTTACTTACATATTGAAAATATACTTGAATAGTAGCTGAATTTTAGGATATGTTTTACCTTGAGGTCAAATATAATTTTGAGGAGCAATAGTTATTACCTACTAATCTTTTATCTGCTATTCCTTATTTAGGAGCAATATTAGTAAATTGAGTTTGAGGGAGATTTACTGTTTATAATGCTACATTTATTATTTTAATATTTACCTACTGGGTAGGTAATTATTAAAATAATAAATATAGCATTAGTAACTAAATAGATATTTTTTTTAAATTTTTAAAATTAAAATTTTTGTATTTTTAAAAATTACTAAAAAAAAAGGGTTTGAAATAATAAATTTTCTCACAAAAGAAGGGAACTTGAAAAAAAAGGAAAAAAAAAGCGGGACCAAAGCCAAGACGCGAACCACGGAACTCCGATATCACGCCCGACCGACATACCACCTGAGCTATAACGACCGTTAATGATTAGTCGAAATTTACCTTCTTATATTGTAGCAGTTTTTTTATTGTCTGAAAACATGGACAAAAGGACATTTTCTAAAAATAAATCCAAGCGTTCGTCGCTAAAATCGTTGGAGCCGTATAATCTTCTCATCTGGTTCGGTTATATAAATATTTAAATATATAAAAATTATAAATTAAAATGAAAAAATAAATATACATTAATATCAATAAAATAAAATAAATACAAAATAATATTATATTACTATTGTTATTATTATTATTATAAGTTGTGGTTCGGTGAAGCTGCAACCTAATGGACCATGATATGAAAAGTGGTTGTTGACGTCAATTATTATTATTCTTATTATTTTTTCATTACTACCTTTTTCAACCTCACAAGATATTTGTAACTGCAAAAAAAAAACTACGTATAAGTAAGTAAATCAGTAATATAGTGTTATGTATGATTTAGACTAAATAAAGGTTCCTAAAAATAGACGTAGATAAAGAAATTGCATAAAAAATTACTCAAATAAAAATGCAATAAGCTTGTTAATTTTATAGGTACTTAGTAAAATATTAAAATAATAAGTTTTTTAGGATATTTATGTAAAATATAAAGGTTATATTATGATCTAACTACGTTCACGCTTGCGCATATAAAACCGCGGAATTTCACTAGTTTTATTATCAAAATAATAATTGTCAACCCTACCCTAAGTTTGCCTTGATTTTACCAACTCAAACTCGTTTTAGGAGATCAAAACATAGAGAGAAAGATAGGAGACTATTTTTTATTTAATATGGTTGGATCTTTATTTATTTGTATATTTTTTGTATTTATTTTATTTTATTGATATTTATGTATATTTATCTTTTCATTTTAATTTATATTTATAAAAACCAACCAGATGAGAAAACTATACAGATACCCCAACAATAATAACATAATAATAATAATATTCCTTAAATATCACACAACGCCATCTAGTCCCAAGCTAAGCAGAGCTTGTGTTATGGGTACTAGACAACTGATAAACATACTTATATATTTCTAAATACATAAATATTATAGATAAATCATCACACAAACATTTGTCCTGGGTGGGAATCGAACCCACGACCTACGGCATAGCAGTCAGGGTCACTAACCACTAGACCAACAGGCCTGACGATAAATAAAATAAAGTCTCTAGCTCGAGAGGAGAGGAGCCGTGGTAGCTCAGATGGTTAGCGCTTGCTAAAATTTTCACAGTGTGCGAGCAAACCGGGTTCGATCCCCGCCGGCACCAATAATATTGTAATTGCAATTTTAAGTGTTGATTTACCACGTACTCAGTGGTGAAGGAAAACATTGTGAGGAAACCTGCATGTCTGAGAAATAAGAAAAATAATATTTCGAAGACATGCAAAGTTCGCCAACACGCAGTGGGGCAGCGCGGTGGATAATTCCTTTCCTAGGATCCTTTCAGAAAATAGAATAGAAATAAAAAAAATAATAAATCCAAACTTCATTTAAAACCAAACATATAAATTGTAAAATAGCTGCAGGTATCTATAACCAAGTAAAAGATATTCCTTTACTCCAACTTGTCCATGTTTCCCAAAACAATTTTTAATTAAGCTTTATATTATAATGCGGATTTTTTTATATTTAAAATTTTAATAATAAAGCATTTCGTACGTCTCAGCCGAGGCGCAAATATTTTTCGGCCGCAAATTTATAAGACCGATTTGTTATTCAAACATAAACGTGGTTTTTTAATTAAATCTACCAATCATAAAACGACACGCATTTTTATTGAACACTTCCTATTCAATTCACAAAGTACCTATTATATTTGTTTATATAAAAAAGTATATTTAAGTACAATCATAAAACTAAATGGAAACACAAAGTAGGAAAATGCATTGAGTTATAAAACACATAAATCAATGGGCAAATGTAAAAATACTGGAGGCAGCAGCCCTATCGCATGTTTACGTACCGCACGTTACATATTTATTTCTAAGATACGGCTGAGTTACAATATACCGTGACGTAAGCGCATCGGTTGGTAGGTACTCAAATAATATTATGTTTGCGGCGAAATACGAAACGCGGCGACCAGCGACGCGGCCACCTCCTACTAACGCATACAGCGTAATGCCGCCCGCACTCTGCGCACGCCCCTTTATCATAGAAGTCACACAATTTTCGGAATTATTTCAATTAAAAGAGAAAAAACGAACTTAAAATTTAAATAAAACGTGGAGAATATAGATTTTTTCATTATCTATCCATTAGTGTTATCCTCAAATGATTAGA